GTGATTAAAATGACAAATTTAATATATATACATGCCAAATTATATTGTATTCTATAATATTTAGTACATAGTTAATTTAATTAGAATAATATGTAAGCTTTTATGTTTTGAGTTATTTTTAAAGCGTATTAAAAAATTTTCTGAACTATGTTATATTATTGTTTCTTCATCACAAACAGACCTGGTGTTGTGTTTTGTTATTCTCTTCTCTCAAACTGAAAACACTCTGTTCCACCTTGTGATGTCACGTGGTAATACCGTAAGTACTGTGTTTTTAAACTCCATTCACCTTAATTTAGAATCATTTGGATCATTTCAGACCTGGAATCTGTCCTGGACTAAAGCCAAAATGTAGCTGTAAACTTGAAAAGTACCACATCATGAAATCACAAAGTGGAACAGTACATTTTGAGCTTTATAGATGTAGACAGACTGATAATAAAGTGTTATTCAAACACGTGTGAATGAAAAAAAAACACAACTCCAGGAAACTTTTAAAACGAGTCTTACCTGAGCCTCGTCTGCGTACAGGGGGATGTCGTGGAACGGAGAGATGTACTTCCCCTCTGCATTTTCTACAAACACAAATAAAATAATTCATAATTCATTGAAAAACAGATATTAATGGCCAGGAAGGAGTATAAATTCTATGACAATTATAGTTCAGGAATTATTCAAAATGACAATATGTAAAACTATCTAATTCTCCTCTTAATGATACAACTACTTGGTTTCAATTTAATGAAGAGTTAATTAGTAAATGATTGTGTTAAAGTTGCACTATGTAACTTTTCTGTTAGGTGGTCTGCTGCCTACTTTATATGTTATTAAAGAAGACATATGGTGCTTGTGTTTTCTGTATAGTTATGAGGTACAACACGTGTGGATCAATATACTTTGGACATTTGAAATCACAATATTCATCTAAAACTAGGGATGGGCATGATTAGTCGATTAATCGATAATTGATCATTAAGAATTTCATCGATTACGTAAATTTTAATCGACAAACCGAATGCAGGTTGCTGTGAGTAGCGTGACCAAACAGGTCTGTACATGTGTCTCTGCACTCAGAAGGAGCGAGACACAAACAGCCGGTCCACCTGCAACGTACTGAAGTGCATATGCGTATTTAACGATGATTTGTACAAGAAATTCCACACTTTCTGTTCCAGTCGGGACAAGTGTGAGTCCATGTGCACAGTGTATAAAGCAGCACATATGTTTCGGTGTCCAGTGGGGAAAAGCTTTACCAGGTGAGAGAAGCGCAATGTCGATGACGAGTATCGGTACGGTGTCCTGGTTTTGACAAACGCAAATCTGGTCACACTAACCTGTATTCCACTGAGTCATGTCTTTTAATCCGACAGAAGTTGAACCGCATCAGCGACACAAGAGCTGGAGTTTTATCTTCGCTTAGTTTATGCAAATGAGCCATGTGGTTTTAAGTTTTGTTTCTGTGAGTTGCGCAAATCTAAATTAAACACATTATAATAAACAGGCTGATGTGGCTCTAGAGTGGTTACGGTTTATTTGTTGTAAAGTTGAATTTATTTATGCAGATTAGTAGTGCAGATAGTAATAATAATGATGATCATTTTAATATAAAAACGTTAATGATTAATCGATAATCGTTCGTTAATTCTCTCGACAATCAATTAAGAACATTTCATTGAATGCCCATCCCTATCTAAAACTACTTAATAAAAGAAACAAGTGCACTGATTTCCGTGTTCAAAAACTGAGGTGCCCAATGGGAGCTGATGTCGCTGTAAACATCATCACAAAAAAGAATTGGCGTAGGATACGGATAGCTGTAGATCACACTAGGGAGAAGCTATTTATTTATTATGTACCAAAATGAGTAATCAACACTGAAGATATGAGTATCACTGATTAAGAAAATGAAATTGGAGAATGAAGTATGCACAGAGGAGTGGGCGTGTACCAGTGGTAATGAAAACTGGGGTTGATGGGCAATATGGCGTCTTGAAAATAAGTGATTAAAAATTGCTCAAACATTCAGAAACATCGTTCCAAATACAAGCCAGGCTGGTGCCACCTAGTGCCTCCGCTCAATTTCATTTCTCTCCAGCGACTAGGTCAGGAATCAGAATACACTAGACGATTTGTGAAGCCGTGACGTCAAACTCAGGGTCTGGGTCCCTTTTGTGGAACAGCACAACAGTAAACAAAGCGTCGAGATGGATGTAGACGAACGAGTCGCAACGATTTCCGAGATTGAGGATTTAAAGCCGGAACAGAGAGAATGTTTGGTGAATTTTATCAAGGAGAAAGACGTTATTGCCCTTCTTCATACGGGATTTGGTGCATTACATACGTCACGATCAAATAACAGTGATTGGTTAAGTAAAAAAAGTACCCGCCAACTGTCGAGCGAATGAATCCTAATGCTGCGAGGTCACACGGTTTCCACAAAGTGAAAACGGCTGATGAATCAGGCTATTCAAATACTACTTCAAGAGGGTAAATAAGTAAGAGAAACAACTATAATACGATTGAAAGCTCTGAAAAGTAAATTTTGCGTAATAGGTTTGCTTTAAATAAATTTGATGTGTTTTTATTGTCAAAAAAATATCATCTTGTTGTCACCTGCTTATCTGCATCTCTACGGAAACATACTTTTGCATAATAAGAAATAACATCTCCATTGAGACAAACATTTTGGAAATCCTGTACCAGAAAAGTTACATAGTGCATCTTTAATGTTCATTACTTTGCTCACATAACTTTACACAAAATGGACTTTTGTGAGCTTTAAGTCATGTTAAAATGTTGTTAACTCCTCAAAAATAGACCTGGAGTTGTGTTCCCCAAAGCTCAAAATGCTGTGTTCCACCTTGTGATGTCATGAAGAGGTACTTTTCAAGCTCTATTTACCTTTAGTTCAGTACAGATTGACAATTGTAGGACTGAAATTACCAAACGATTCTAGTGAAAGTGTATGGAGTTTAAAATACAGCATTTCCACGTGACATCACAAGGTGCAACGGTGTTTTCTCAGCCAAAATACTCATTTGTGTGTTAAAGATGTGTGAATGAAACAAAACAAAACACAACTCCGGGTCTGTTTGGGATGAGGAAACAACATTATAACATAGATCAGAAAATAACGTAATATGAGTCCTTTAAATTCAAATAAATGTGTATATTTATATGAATCTCTTACGGAAAAAGACTTGGTAGTCGGTGGTGTAGGGTCTTCCTTTCTCCTCCACGCTGTAGGCCATTTTGATGCTCTCAGTCCTGGTTGAGTTCTGACTGAGACCTGCCTGAGTCCTGGTTTAAATCTGGCTCAGAGTCCAGGGTAAGTCCCTCATTCACACACACACACACACACGGAGGAGTGGACATGCGCACTCACTAAGACCTGCTCCACTCAGGACTATTTTTACCTCGTTTGTTTATACGTGATTGAATAACTAAAATACAGAATAAAATATATAAAGCATTTACTTTTTTTAAACTTTTACAACCTTTAAGCCATGTTCAAGATCAGAAAATAGCAAAATATCAGCATTTTAAATCATTTGCAGCTTTGTAAACAAACAAAAAAAACAAAAACTATTCTCAAATTTGGACTAAATATTGAAACTGCTTTTTCTTTACTATCTAAAAAATTAATTAATTATAGTTCACCCAGTTCACTCGGTTCACCAGTTCACTCGGGTCATGGGCCTAATTAAGTGATTAAATTGTCATTATGTCATTTATATCGTTATAAAAATAAGTCTCCTGATCATTTCTATTAGTGATAAGGTCCATTAATCCTCCAGTGTTTATTCAGCCACACCTCAACATCTGCAGATTAACTAAAGATCTGACCTGCTCCATTTCAGACAGAGATACAAGAGGACGGGACGGGAGGGCATCTGAGACACACAGACAGAGGACGGGAGGGCATCTGACACACACAGAGACAGAGGATCTGACACACACAGACAGAGGACGGGAGGGCATCTGACACACACAGACAGAGGACGGGAGGGCATCTGACACACACAGACAGAGGACGGGAGGGCATCTGACACACACAGACAGAGGACGGGAGGGCATCTGACACACACAGACAGAGGACAGGAGGGCATTGACACACGAAGAAATTGGTGGTTTCCAGATTTAATTATATTGAATTTGCCATGAAATACTACAACTACTACTACTACTACTACTACTACTACTATGACTGCTAGCACTGCTACTACTACTACTACTACTACTACTACTACTACTACTACTATGACTGCTAGCACTGCTACTACTACTACTACTACTACTACTAACTACTACTACTATGACTGCTAGCACTGCTACTACTACTACTACTACTAGTACTACTACTACTGCTGCTGCTGCTACTGCTACCACTACTACTACTTTGATTACTGCTACTACTACTAGTACTACTAATACTGCTACTGCTACTGCTACTATTACTATTACTACTACTACTATTACTACTCCTGCTACTACTACTTCCACTCCTACTACTACTACTACTACTACTACTACTACTACTACTACTACTACTATTACTATTAGCAGCAACTGCTACTACTGCTACTACTACTAATGCTACTATTACTGCTATTACTTCTACTACTACTACTACTACAACTGCTACTGCTACTACTACTACTAATACTGCTACTAGTACTATTACTACTACTACTACTACTACTACTACTACTGCTGCTAGTATTACTACTACTATTGCTACCACTACTAATACTGCTACTACTTCTGCTACTACTACTGCTAAGACTACTACTACTACTGTTATGATTACTCCTATCATTACTACTACTTCTACTATTATCAGTCAATCAATCAAACTTTATTATTTATACAGCTCTTTACAACGTGACCAAAGTACTTTCCAATGTTGTTGTTGTGATCTGGGAGGGCATCTGACACACACAGGGACACACGAGAGGATGGGCTGGGAGGGCATCTGACACACACAGGGACACACGAGAGGATGGGCTGGGAGGGCATCTGACACACACAGGGACACACGAGAGGATTGGCTGGGAGGGCATCTGACACACACAGGGACTTTAAAATGAAGAGTTGCGAGTGCCATTCCCCCGTCCCGCCTCCTAATCCGGCACCGTAATGGGTTTAAATCCTTTAAACTCCGTCAGCTCCATCTGGTTCTCTCGAGAGGATCGCCACGGCAACAGATTACAACAAGAGGTTAAACACAAGAGACGCTTCGTTTAAAACAGGGGTGTCAAACTCATTTTGGTCCGGGGGCCGTATCCAACCTACTTTGATCCCAAAGGGGCCGAATCAGAAAACTCATGACATATAAACCCCAAAAATAACAATAAGTTCAAATATTTGTGCAGAGAAATTCAAATCTGTTACAGAAATATTTTTTTAATTGATGAACTCTTTCTTTTACCAAATATTATAATATCATGAACAACCTGAAACTTTAATAAAAATGTCATTTCAACACAGTGTTTTAATATTAACTTGGCAAATAGGAATAAGTCAATTTTTTCTTGGAAAATCCTGCACTCGGCTCCACTTTTCTCATTTTGGACATTTTGTTGATGAGGGTGTCACGGTCAACAGTCAAAACGATCGTCCTTTAAGAGCGTTTGGAAAGAGACAAGTCTTCATTTGTGCTGCTCTGGTGGGAGGGGCCACGTACAGAGACGCTGGAGACGCTGATATGATAAGTAACACAGAAAATTACCAATATTTTAATAGAAAATATAATTAAAATATTTTAGTAGAAAATCAGCCGAGGGCCAGATTAAAGGTCTTGGAGGGCCGGATCTGGCCCCCAGGCCGTATGTTTGACACCTGTAGTTTAAAACAAGAAACAAGAGAAGAAGAGCGGAGGATGAGGATTAAACTGCTCCTCTGACAAAATTATTACAATTTAAGAAGAAGAACAGAAAATATATTAGAAAATAGTAAAATATGTAAAATCTTTAAAAATTTTTTAAACCCTAAAAACACCTGTAGTTGAATATATGCAAGTCAAAATAGACTTTTAATGCCATACTGTGCAACATTCCAGGTAAACTATTATGTAACTTTTGTTTACGTTGTGGTTGCTAGGTGACAGTTAGAATTACCTCTACATATGTCACATCTGCTGCCAAAATTGGGACTAAACTCGGACTAAATCAGAACTAAATCTGGACCAAACCAGGATTAAACCAGATCTAAATTTGGACTAAACCAAGACTAAACCAGAACTAAATCTAAAGTAAACCAGGTCTAAACGCTGACCAAACCAAGAATAAATCTGGACTAAACCAGGACAAAACCAGGACTAAACCTTGACTAAACCAGGACTAAATTCAGACTAAACCAAGACTAAATCAGAACTAAATCTGGACGAGACCAGGACTTAACCAGGTCTAAATGGTGACCAAACCAAGAATAAATCTGGACTAAATCAGGACTAAACTCAGACTAAACCAAGACTAAATCAGAATTAAATCTGGTCTAAAAAAAAACAGGACTAAACCAGGACTAAATTCAGACTAAACCAAGACTAAATCAGAACTAAATTTGGACCAGGATTAAACCAGAACTAGACCAGGATTTAGCCAGGTCTAAACGGTGACCAAACCAAGTATAAATCTGGACTAAACCAGGACTAAATTCAGACTAAACCAAGACTAAATCAAAACAAAATCTGGACTAAAAAAACAGGACTAAACCGAGACTAAATCAGAACTAAATCTGGACTACACCAGGATTTAACCAGGATTAAATTGTGACCAAACCAGGAATAAATCTAGACTAAACCAAGACTAAATTCATACTAAGCCAAGACTAAATCAGAACTAAATCTGGGCTAAACTAAGATTAAACCAGGACTAGACCAGGACTTAACCAGGACAAGAAAGTGTCCAACCAGGAAGTTATAAGATCATAAACTTCACCAAAATAGCCCAATTAGAAAGAATTTTTGGTCAAATCTTAAATGTAATTATGTGAACCGTGTTTTGTACGAAGGGCTATAGTTTGATACGCTCTTCTGAAATAACAAATGTGCTCAGTTTGCCTTTAGTTATACATTATTAATTATTAATGACAATCATACAGAAGCCGAGAGGGGTCACAACAAACGCAAACGCCGCAACAAATACAAATGCGACAACACAACAAAAAGCCACAACAAACCAAAAAAAGCCGCAACACATTAAAAAGCCACAACGGAAATGACCACGGGACTCTATTTTAATGCAAACGCCGCAACAAATACAAACGCCACAACACAAACGCAAATGCCGCAACACATTAAAAAGCCACAGCACATTAAAAAGCCGCAACACATTAAAAAGCCACAACGGAAGTGACCGCGGGACTCTATTTTCCGACAGACCGATCAAAGAGCAGGTGAAAAAGAAGAACTACAACGTGAAAAGTAAAGGAACGGAGAAGTTGGAAACGTAAGTAAAAGTAATTTATTGTTTTATCATTATTCGTTTCACGTTGTAGTTCTTCTTCTTCACTTGCCGTTTGATCGGTCCGTCGGAAAATAGAGTCCCGCGGTCACTTCTGTTGTGGCTTTTTTTTGGTTTGTTGTGGCTTTTTGTTGTGTTGTGACCCCTCTCGGCTTCCGTACAATCATCTATGTGAAATGATTTCTCACAATAATAATCAACAATGACAATATTCAGCACTTTCACTTTTTTCATCTCAGTAATTATTAAATTTTTAAGTACAGTGTTAGTAATTATCATCATTTCTTCTCTGAGTGTGTTTACGTGCACATCAGTATCCCGCTTATAAATGTAGTATCCTGATTTCTTGGCATAATCTTACAAATGCATAAGTGCAAAAATTATATATTTAATAAACCAGGAAAAATACAAACAACCATGAGCTCCTTTAACAGAGGAAGCTCAAGGAGGTTCCTAACCAGTGATAAGGAGCTATGAGGTATCCCACAATCCACTGCAGATCAAACCCAACGTTTCCAAATACTACTGTACAAGTTCTACACTGCAGCGGATTATTAATTAAAATCTTCTGCATGAATAAACTCAACTTTACAACATACAAATCATAACCAGTACAGAGCCACATCAGCCCGTTTGAGATTATAATGTGTTTAATTCAGCTTTGCCACATTTGTTTACGTTTTACAGAAACAAAACATAAAACTGCATGGCTCATTTGCATAAACTGTGCTGAAAAAAAAACAAAAAACAGCTCGCTCATCTAAATCGCTTATCTAAACTTCAAGTATAACGAACATATTTTTAGATGCAGATCACTAATGAGTTGTGCTATTGTTAGAACCGGTCAATTACAGGTTTTATTATAGGCCACAAATACTTTAAAAACATGCTTTGTCTTTGTCAGCGAACTTGCCTCTCCACAGATCTGACCTGTAACTCGGTCTTGTAGTGTCAGTCACTTACTTCTTTGGAAATGGATAGATGATTCCAGAAAACAAAACAAAAACATCTCCATGGACACAGTTCCACCAGAAAAGTGACACAGTGAAGCTTTAAATGTGTCATATATGAACTTTAACCTGCCCCACTGCCACCTGTTATTGGCCCTTTATTATTTTATTGGTCCATTGGAATAATCCATCATATTATAAAACACAGAGACAGGGCCAGATGAGGTCACATGATGAGCTAATCAAAACACTGGGCTTTCCAAGTAGGCCACACAGCAGAGGGAGGGGTAAAATGTCAAGGTCAGAGTTGTTTTTAACACAAAAAAAGATGTTATTTTAACTATTTGAAAGTTAAATAGGGGTTTGAGTTGGGGTTATTTGCCAGAGTTGATGGGGTTAGAGTTAATTCAGCTTCCCCTAATGTTAATTTGACTTCCCCTAGCGTTAATTCAGTTTCCACTTGTGTTAATTCGACTTCCACTAGTGTTAATTTAACTTCTCTTAGTGTTAATTTGGCACTTCCCACCCACCACTTCAAACTCCCGTGAGAGAAGACTAGTTTGAACCAGTTTTATACACAATTTCATCTTAAATTAACTAAAATAAAAGGTAAAAATAAAACACCTCTGTGTGTTGTTTAGCTAAATCAGAATAACTCTACATAGTGTTATCCGTTTACTCTCAAAACATTAATATAACTCTTGATTTCACAGTTAAACAGGAACTTTGGTCCAGTGTTACTTCATTAACATTTCCAAAAATGTTAAATTAACTCTAGAACAGATTGGACTCAAATAAACCCTGAGAAAATTTATTCTGTGAGAGTCAATTTTAACACTCCACTTTTTGTTGTGTACCAGCAGATCCAAACCCTATTAATATACTACTACTACTGCTACTGCTACTACTACTGCTACTGCTACTACTGCTAATACTACTACAACTACTGTTACTACTGCTAATATTACTACTACTACTGTTAATACTACCACTACTGCTGCTACTACTTCTACTACTACTGCAGCTACTACTAATACTGTTACTACTGCTAATACTACTACCACTAATACTGCTGCTACTGCTGCTACTACTACTACTACTACTACTCTGTGCTGTTTAAATCCATTTTGTATTTTTTCATCAGTTTTAAGACCTTCTTAAAACATTTCTTTGGTCAGTGTTAATGTTAATATGTGCGCTGCGTCACCACGGTAACTGCCGAACGTTCCACCAATAGAGACACGTGTAGAACAATAAATAGCCGTTGTTGTTATTCTATTCTTGAAACAGATCTGAGTGTTGTTGAGGATGTTTTTTGGCAAACCGAAACTGCGTAAAAACTAAATACACACGCATGAAAATCAAATCCAGCTGATGCAAAATTCAAAAAGCACAAAGAGCAAAGTTCCATGTAGCAGCTTTATGCCATGATAAAAACATACAGTATCAAAGTGTATAATAAATAAAGTATTTTAAATATCTCAAATGATATAAAAAACACAATTGTATGCCCAAACGTTTCCCATAATCCTCAGCTCAGGAAAGAAAACCTCACACTGCACATCGCACTTCACTGTTAATTAACCGTTCTGTTTAGATAAAAGTGGATTTAATTATATTAAAATCTTAAAATAAAACAGTTGAGAGCGTTTCACGTGATGATACGGCTACGATTTGAAGACTGTAAAGATACAGTATGTAACTTTCGGCGGTGGCAAGTTTCCATGGACATAGATAGTTAAAGCCATACTCCGGAACATTCTCCACGGAGACAGATGAGCGTTGTGTACCGGTAATACTGTGGAAGATTACAGCCAAAGCATTATGACAACATTTCCATGGAAACAGGAAAGCTGACCAAATCGGAGTCAGGTCTGTGTAGATGCAAGCCCGCTCAGAGTAAGGACGCATGTTTTTCCATTAAAAAAACTACAAAAATTTAAAATATTCAACTTTTTGGACTAAAAGTTGCACACTGTGGCTTTAATTTACATGACTCAAATAAAGAAAATTAAATATTCAGAATTGAAGAGTCCATGTACCATTCTTTATTTTTTTTTATTTCAATTAAGAATGAAAACAATAAAATGGGAAAACAGTTTGTGATTTAATTTTTTCGATTTAGTGTCAAACAAAAACAAAAAACAGATTTCGACCTCTATTTCCAATATTTAATTTAAAGTTTATTTCATTGTGCTTAGTTCCGTTTTGATATTTTATTCTGTCTGGTTTATTTGCCCCAGAATTTATGTTGCTAGAAGGATTTACCTGAAAAATCATTGCAATTTTGTGGACAAACTTCCTCTTCTTTTGTGTTTACTTTCGCGCAGAGGTGGGACCAAGTCGTTGTTTTGCAAGTCTCAAGCAAGTCAAGTCTTTGACCTCAAGTCCGCGTCAAGTCCCAAAACAAATACAGGCAAGTCCCAGACGAGTCTCGAGTCACTGGCCCATAAGTCCAAGTCAAATCCAAGTTATGTGCTTTGAGCTTCAAGTCATTTCAAGTCTTTAAATAAAAAGCTTAGATTTTTTGCAATTTATATGAATTTTAAGCTAAATTGTACTTAAAAAATCATAGTATAATTATATATGAGCATAGAGTATATAAGAGTTTTTTTTTTCTTTTTAAATGTCTTGACAAGATAGAGTATGAATCATTACTGTCAGAATAGAACAAATTCTGATTTAAAAGTGCTTCTCAAGACTTCAAGTCCATGTCGAGTCCCAAGTCTTAGTCCATTTTATTAAGTCAAGTCTCAAGTCCTAAAAATAGTGACTCAAGTCTGACTTGAGTCCAAGTCACGACTTGCAAGTCCCCACCTCTGCTTTCGCGTCTACGACAGTAATGAAATATTGGAAATACAGGTCGAAATCTGTTTTTTTGTTTGACACTGAAAACGAAAAAATTAAATAAATAGTTTTCTCATTTTATTGTTTTTCGTTCTTAATTGAAATTCAAAAGAAAGAATGGTCCATTGACCTAGAAGGTGCACTATGTAACACTTTTAACACAGGGTTCACCACCTGCCTGCCTCATCATGATACTTTTACTTTGTCTGGAATGTTCCACAGTATGGCATTAAATATATAGGTCTTGTTTTCATTCAGTTACAGCTATTTTAATGCCGAAATGTGCTTTGAAAAACATGTATTCTTACTGTGAGTGGATTCGCCTCTCCACAGATCTCACCTGTAACTTGGCCTTCATGTCCTTGCTTGCTCGTTTCCATGGCGATGGATGAGCTTCATGCCACACTGTGAAATATTTGAGGCAAAAGCAATAACATCTCCATGGAAACGAGCAAGCGAACGCACCTCTGAAGTCACAGTTTTAATTTTGAGATTTGTCCCTCCAAAAATCCGCCTTTACTACATTTTGAGGTAGTCTCTCTCTCTCTCTTTGCTCTCGATTCAAAGGCTTTAGGTGCAAATAAACGCAGCGGTAACGGTTTGAAAAGGCACACCAAGTCATGCATGTTTTGTAGTTTTTCCAGCTTTTGTCGTTGTTGTGTTTTTAAGACTCAGAAATGATGAGTTCAAAGCTGTGCGGCGTCTGAAGAGCGGCGAGGGTCTGGTCACTTAACGGGTTTGATTTCAGGTTGATCCATTTGAGAGAAGGCATCGAAAATAACTGCTCCACCGGGACTTCTGCACAGAGAGAAAGAGAGATGTACAATTTTTAAAGGTCCTATATTACACAAAATTGACTCTTGTGAGCTTTTAGCCGTGTTATAATGTTGTTACCGCTACAAAAACACACCTGGAGTTGTGGCTTGTTCTCTGCAAATTTCTCTGATCTGGCCAAGATTTTTTTTATATTAGGTCTTTGCAGACACCTTCCTCCACGGTCTCGGGGTAGAGCACTGCTCCAGACACAAAACACTGCGTCGGGGGACACATTTTGAAAGCTCATTGTGGGCGCGGGCAGGAGCGAGACTGCATAATGCGGGCGGGAGCGGGACTGAAAATTCTGTCCCGTGCAGACCTCTAGCTCGGGGTTCTCCCTGTCTCTCAAGTCCAAGATTAGTCCTGGTTTAGTCCTGGTTTGGTCCTGGTTTGGTCCTGGTTTGGTCCTGGTTTGGTCCTGGTTTGGTCCTGGTTTAGTCCTGGTTTGGTCCTGGTTTGGTCCTGGTTTAGTCCTGGTTTAGTCCTGGTTTGGTCCTGGTTTAGTCCTGGTTTAGTCCTGGTTTAGTCCTGGTTTGGTCCTGATTTTTGTCCTGATTTTGTCCTGATTTTGTCCTGCTTTAGTCAGTGATGTTAAAAGTAGGTCCTGCATGAAGTTGGAAATTATTTTATATAATTATTATAACAAATATATACATAAAACACAATATTAAGAAATATTTGAAAACCCCTGTATTAGGTTTTTCATCTTGTTTTCAGATTTATTATCTACTTACTAGTTATTAATTGGATTAATTCTAGTCTAGAGGTCGTTTATTTTAAGATAACTTGTCAAGTAAAATTATCTTGCTGCATGGACAGATAATTTCACTACTTTTAAGTTGTTTTCTAAGTGTGTTTCATTCACACCTGTTTTAATAATCCTTTATTATTAGTCTAATAATAATTCAGTGTATTAGTGAATAAAACAAAACACAACTCCAGGTCTGTTTGTGATGAGGACACAACATTATAAGAGAAAACTGCAATACTGTTAGAATGGTTTGATTTTCTTATCTCACAATACATTATAACATTTCTGATATTCGTAAAATATGCACTGTCTGACTTTTCTCTCTATTTAATTCAATATTAGAGGACCATATGTAATCTACAGGTGTCACCTTAATGGGAAAATTAAATAAATACATTAAATAATTTGACTAAACTATAACAGAATTTGGTTCTAAAGTTGTCAAATTTCAAAAGCAATGTCTGTTTTTTCTTTTGTTTGTGCTACGAGGTAATGCTTTTCTTTTTAAGAGTCTACATTGTCCAAAATCAAATTTTGTCATTCAAGTTAGTGAGGAATATCTTAAGACCACTGCAAACACTTTAAAATTAACTAGTTTTTCATGTTTTAAAGAGAGAAAAAATAAAGTAGAGCTCCTTTAAACATGTATCTACAAAGTAGTTGCTGTATTAAAGTTTAATAACAGTACCGGTGATGTTGTTCCCCTCCAGGTCGATTCGCTCCAGCGCCTTCAGCTCCGTCAGTTTCACGGGGAACTCGCTGAAGTTGTTTTTGGACAGATTCAAGCTGCTCAGATTCTCCATTTGGACCACAGCATCAGGAAGTTTGGTCAGGACGTTTCCACGAAGATCCAACTCTGTTAAAAGATGAAGAGGACAACAGAAGTTCTGTTTACATACACAACAAAATCTGATTATCTGACTTCTGGTAATTTAAGTGTATTTAAATGACATGTAAACTAAAAAACTGCACTGTTTTCCCTATGACCTCTTGTATATAGTTGACTTTTTTAAAAATTACTTATTTTTCTATTTTATTTTGACTTGTACGTTTACATTTACATAATTATGCCATATGTTACACCTGTCTCTTGCTCTTTTTTGCTACTTATTTAGAATTTATTATTACTATTTATAATTTTCACTCTGTTATTATATTATATTGTGATGTGTGAGACTCTGTGTCCAAATAATTTCCCTTCTGGATCAATACAGTTTATCTAAGTCTAAGTCTAAAGGGATCATGACCAGAATAAATCAGGTGATGTTGCTGTTTACATAACCACATCGTTTAATAGTTTAATAGTCTGTCAGATAATATTCAGATTATGAGTTTTCATGTAACCGCAGCCAGTGGCAATTAAACATTAATTGCTGAGATATTGTTCATATCTTGTATAAAAGTATATTTCATTATCAGATTATCATTTTAAATAAGAATATTTATTTATAAAGTTCCTTTCGTGCTTGTTAGCAATTCAAGGTGCTTTCCAAAGGCATAATAAAACTGAATTAAAATATTAGACCAATAAAAATATACACAGTGCAATACAGACCACAGTTAATTACAGTAGAGAAACAAGAGGCCATTTAGTGCAAATAAGTTAGAATCATTCAAATTAGTTGAACGCTGACTTAAAACCAATTTTTATAAGTTTAGTTTTGAACGATTCCAGAGAGCTCACGTCTCTGATCTCAGAGGGTAGTGAGTTCCACAGAGTTGGGGTTTCGATTATAAAAGCAGCATCCCCAACTCTTTTTTTCCTCTATTCTTAAGGATATTCAATAGATCTGCACAGGAGGAGCACATGGTTCTCGACGGGGTGTGGCATATTGGTGATATATGTGGAGGAGAGGCCATGAAGAGCTTTATAAGTGATTTAAAATGAATTCTAAAAACAAGGATGAAGCTAAAATTGGGGCGACGTGAGGTCGTTTGCTGGTGTGCGTTTAAAAACACACACAATCTTCTAAATACTGAATGGTCTGTGAGAGCTAAAAACAAGTTAGAGTCAAGTAAAGTCGTACAATGTTGTCATAATTCACTCCACACTTGTTGGGAGCTACTACTTTAGTTTAATTTAGTCTTTATTTGAAGTGACAGTGCACAAGACATTAAAGGGACAGTTCAGAATTTTGGACACAGGGCCTCATTTCCTAGTGAGCCAGAGTGTTGGAGACGTGTGGAGACACTTTTTAAAATATTCCATCCAATCCTTGTGTTTGCAGAGGTCACTGGTGCTAGACTAGTGCATGTCAATGGCCATAGTTATCCTGCCACTAAAAATAGTCTTACCCACTCCACAAAACACCCGAAGAAAATCTGTTATAACGCCAGACTGTCCATGTAAATGTCTGTGTCGATAGAATAAGTTTAGAAGTAAAAACAACCTTGAATTTGAAGGATTTTTGTCTGAGCAGCAGCAGTGAGTTGTTCTTCCTGATAGAAATCTCGGCAGCGGCGGACTGATATATGAGAAAATAGTCCCTCAAAATTACAATTCATGCGATGCAAGGTTAATTTTCTTTCAAACATTATTCTATCGACACAGACATTTACATGGGCAATCTGGTGTAATAATAGATCTTCTTTGAGTGTTTTGTGGAGTGGGTAAGATGGTTTTATTGGCAGGATAACTATGGCCATTGACATGCACTAGTCTAACACCAGTGACCTCTGCAAATACAAGGACTGGATGGAATATTTTAAAAAGTGTCTCCACACGTCTCCAACACTCTGGATCACTAGGAAATGACGTCCTATGTCCAAAATTCCAAACTGTCCCTTTAAGCTCATAAAACAGAGATACTATTGTAGCCACAGCTGCCCTGGGGTAGCCTGACTGAAGCAAGGCCCCCAATCTGCGCCATAAGGACCCTCCACCTCTCATCACTGACCCTCTCGTACATTACTTTCAAATTCATTCAATGGGCAAGGTGGCCAAGTGTCTTACCCAAAGACACAACAACAGTACGCACTGGTCCGAGCTGGATTTGAACCAACAACAACCTTCGGGAAAAAAGTGCTAACCACCCTGATCTTGGACAAATACACACTGTACCAGTTTTTCAAACCAAGTCAGTTAAAGCCAGTATTGTAAAATGGATTGTAAGATTTATAAATATTTAAAAATGATAAACTGATATAAACAAAGCCTGAAGTCAAATCTCATGCTATTTAATCCTTTATTTTTAATTCCTGGTCATTTGTTATTGTTTTGTATTTGTTTACCTCTGAGCTGTGTAAAGATTGTGCAGAATTTGCTGCTGATTGCTTTCATCTCATTATCGGCCAGAGAAATAGTTCTGATATTTCCGATGACGTTGCTCAGGACCATGAACACACCGTCAGGGAACGAGCTGAGGTGGCAGTTTGACAGATCTGTGAAAGAAAGAATATAAAAGTAATATTTAGATCTAGGGATGCATACTTCATTAATTGGTAACTGTAACCACCACCTTTATGTCATTATTCATTATTAAATAAGCAGATTTTTCAGTAATACTTGTGAAGTACGAAAAAGTTGCATTTTAAAAGATGCAATGTGTAACTTTTCTGGTGGAGGATCTGTTAAATGCTTTTCTCCATGGAGATATTATTCCTTTGTCTGGATTGTTTCACAATATGGCACTAAACCTGTCTGTCATCATGGAGACCAACCAGACCAAGTTACAGGTCAGATCTGTGGAGAGGCGACCCCGCTCAGAGACAGAATGCCTGTTTTTCTAGGTATTTTTGAGCTACAAAACCACCTGTAATTGAATAAATTTAAGATAGAGCTGTTGAATGTCATACTGTGGAACATTCAAGGCAGAATAATAACATATCCAACCAAAAAGTTACACAGTTCATACTTAAACTAAATCTAAATTGTAGACTTCATTTAATTAGACACTTTTTTGTTATTTAACCTCCTAGGACCTGAACTCTTGCATGGCATGTTTTATTGATTTCTCTTTGTGATTTGGGCTGATTGGGACCTGATGAGTGCAAAAACAAAGAATTATATTTTTATATTTTAATATTTATATGTCCACATATGATATATAAAACATTCATTTTATGTTTTAATCATTTTGATGGAACACAATAAAGTCACAATTGAATAACGATTTGCAAAAACTATTAAGTGCCTATTGAACCATACCATCCCATAGTAACTGTAGTGACTATTTGTCAATGAAAACTAACAAACAAAAGTGGTGAGCAAACTTAGAATTAAACATAACTGAAATAATCAGCTTTGTGCACCATGGGTTTGTAGATTACACAGTAAAGTAAAACAAACTCTTTGTCTAGATCCAGAGCTGCATTTTCCAAAATGTATTCCAGGTTTAAAAGGCAAACAACAAAAATACATGATCAAGGCCTACACTTGCTGCCTCTCCTGCCGACTGGTAAAAACCATAGACCCACCCAGGTGCACTCTGGTCCTGCTGTAACATCCTCTTTTATCCTCTAGGTGCCACGCTCCCCTGCGGATTAAACCAAACCCGAAAAGGTGCTAAGGTAAATATTAGCAAATTAGACTAAATGAGGGTTGGCAATTATTTTTTCCATGGGGTCACATGAGAAACAGAAACTATTGTGGAGGGTCAAAATGCTTAACTCATTCTGTATAATATTATTTGTATTTTTTTTTTTTAAAAGCAGTAAATATCATTGTTTTGACAAGCTGGTGAGACTGGTAAGAGTTTATTGACTAGTTATGACTAAGCAATGAAAAACTTAGGTTGCCTTACAAAAATATATATATATAAAAAAAAAAAACACCTAAAATAACAGCAATGCAGCTTTAGTCCACGCATTAAGTAAAATTATAAAATATGTTTATTTTGTAATTCCAAATTATCTTAAATGGGCCGGTCAGAGTCAACCAATGGTCCTTATGTGGCCCGGGAGTTGTACAATGCCCATGTCTGGACTAAACAAATTAGAAAACATATTAACAGAGCAAAAATGTATTATACAAATGTATTAACAAAACTAAATCACTAAACTAATTGACATAAACAAAATAATCAAATAGTTCATACAGTAATATAATAGCTGGTGAAACTGTTTAGTTACAGTTTGCTGCCATCTGCTGTCGATAATATAAAATTGCCACTACATACAAGTTTTTTGTATGAAATAATTAAAATCTGTTTCTTACCCAAATAATCTTTTCCCTCCTCGGCTGTAGCGTTGATCCTACGAGCCACCTTTGCAACTGATTCAGCCATTTTCCTTCACTTCAGCCTAAAAAAACCCAAAACAATAACGCTATTTAACAGTGATTTTAAACATTTCTATCTTTATTATTACACGTATAAATTTGTATTATTTGGGGTTTTACATAACAAAGCATAGATCATTAGATTATGCGTTTTTTCCGCTGATATCGTGCAAATTACGTCCAAGTCAATGCAAATATTTCATTCAATCAAACCAGGGCTTTTATGAAACATGCTAAAATGATAAGTACACATGTTTTGGCCTTTCCCTGCTTAAAATGACAAGATTAATCCGGGAAAATTAAAAGAAAAACGATGAAATAATGAGTAACACTAAAAAGTCATACTCACTCAAACTTGCCACAGCCCCACTCTTAGCAGCTGTTAGCATGTAGCATCGGCTGTAAATAGCGTGCGTATTTTTAGCTCAGGAAATAAGAAACGTGCAAATTTTTGTTGCTCCAATCAAATACTCACTTTAAATAAATAAAGGAATCTTGACACAGACGGGTTAAGCAAGCAGAAGTTGTATTAGTTAGTAAAAAGTATAAAAATGATTGCTAACGCTAGCTAAGCAGGAAATATGCGTATTACGTCATTGTTAGCGACGCCCCCCAGGGTAATAAAACGTTACTAAACGCATTATAAAACTACATTTAACCTTGGTTTTATAACTGTTTGGTAACTTTTTGGCAATATACGTAACAATTCAATAAAAAAATTAAAAAAACAATATATTTTACTTTTAATCACCAGAACACACAGTCCCAAGTTCTAATTTAGTCCGTATTTAGGCTAAATGTATGCATTGCTAAAGGTAATAGGGACGTAACAATAACCAAAATATCGTGATATCGTATCGTTAAAAGTCTCACAATAATATCGTGGGCTGTCACAATATATCGAATCACACGTTGCTTTGCTTAAATACATGGTTTTATAGTAGCAACAGTTTATAAACATCAAAAACTACAAATCCCATGATTCATTTCAGTGCAAACAACATGAAGAGATATGTTTTTACTTGAATTCTTGGGATTATGACTGAAATAATTCACACTAAAATCTTGTTAAGGTATTTTTAAAGTTGAAACGTGTCCTATGTACTATTATATCAGCTTTTCCAAAATATCGCAATAAATATCGACCACAAAGATTTGGATATTGTTACATCCCTATTAATTAATGAATATATTATAATATATTGTTTATTATTATAATAATCAATTAAGATATTCTCTAATAACTCTAATTCCTTTATAAATGCTTAATTATACTAGGCTATGTAACTATTATTGATTAGAATTAGACTTTTGTTTGTAAGATAATACTCCCTACAACTGCAAAACAACTCACCCTTATATGATGGATAACCCTCGTGTTTATAGCTGAAATTTGATATTTTATTACTTATTTTTCTATTTTATTTCATCTTGTACACATTTATATAATTATGTCTTATTTGACAACTGTCTCTTTCTCTTTTTTGCTACTTAGTTAGAACTTATTTAGAACTAATTACCATTTATATATATTTTTACTCTGTGTTATTATATTATATTGTGATGTGTGAGCTGCTGTGTCCAAATAATTTCCCTTGTGGATCAATAAAGTCTAAATCTAACTCTAAATTAGCTTGGTTTTGACTGTAGACTGTATTTGACTTCAGTTCAACAAGGTGTATTTCCCATTTTTTGTATTCATAATTCAATTTAAGGCAAATAGTGCAATATTTTGTCTATTTTGACCAATAAAAGACTATTCAATTACACACCAGACTATAACTATTAAGCTTATTGGTTAGAATTGTAAGCTTGGTATGACTTTATGTCTAAATTTCTTATTCATATTGGCGTTCACAGCAAATAGTGTGATAATTTTGTCTATTTTTTGACCAATTAAAGCTATTAAACGATCCTACATTTCAACATAATACCTATTTAGAATAAAAGTTAAATGTTACCTTACCTTACCACTCCTCTCTGTCTTTCTGTCTCTGCTTCTGTCCAGGTTATGTGACTGGCATGTTCCGGGGTGTTTCCTTTTCAAAGCGTCACACACAAAGAGCCGGTGCACTGCAGAAGAATACACAGGTATATTCTGCTGTGTCTCTGTTACTACGTTACTGTGCGGAGATGGTAGTAACATGAGTCACAGTGGCCAGTCAGGTCTGTACGTCTGAATACAATGGGTCAAATATTCAGCATACTAGGTCATGTGTGTGGAATGAGCCAATAGGAATGTAGCATCAGCTTTATGTGCTTTCTGAACAACAATGCTAAAGTGTGAAGTTAATGACACATCAAAGTTGGAACTAAACCAGGACTAGATCAGGACAAGTGTCAACACATTCTCTAAACCTGGAACTAAACCAGGACTAAACAAAAACAAGTAGGAATCACATCCAAACCTGGAGCTAAATGTGTAGTAAATCAGAACTAGGACAGGACCAAAACCAAGTCTAAATCAGAACTAAACCATTTGTGAAGGTAACCTTGACTATCAGGACTAAAAATGGACTAGAACTGAACCAAACCAAGTCTACAGCAGGACTAAACCAGAGTCAAACCAGGACTAAACCAAAACAAGTGGGAATGACATCCAAATCTAGAGCTAAACATGTTCTAAATCAGGACTAAAACAGGACCAAACGAAGTCTAAATCAAAACTAAGGTTGAAACCATTTGTGAAGGTAGCCTGGACTAAAAAGGACCAGAACTGGACCAATGCAGGCCTACATCAGAACTAAACCAGGATCAAACCATTTGTGAATGCAGCCTGGACTATCAGGACTAAAAAAGGACTAGAACTAGACCAACGCAAGCTTATATCAGGATTAAACCAGGATCAAACCAGGACTAAACCAAGACAAGTGGAAATGAAACCAAACCTGGAACTAAACCTGGACTAAACTTGAACTAAAACAGAACCAAAACCAAGTCTAAATCAGAAGTAAACCAGGATGAACCCATTTGTGAATGCGGCCTACACCCAGAACTACACCAGGACTATCAGGACTAACAAAAGACTAGAACTGAAATGACTAAACCAGAATCAGACTAAACATCCATGGACTAAACTTGAACAGACTCAAACCAGTGAAACCAGTGAATGCAACCCAGAACTACACCAGACTATCAGGACTAACAAAAGACTAGAACTGAACCAAACCAAGTCTACATCAGGACTAAACCAGAATCAAACCAGGACTAAACCAAGATAAGTGGAATGATGTCCAAACCTGGAACTAAACTTGTTCTAAATCTGGACTAGAACAGGACCAAACCAAGGACTGACAAGGACAACATTAGGACTAAACCAGGATTAAACCAGTCAGGACAAGTATGAATGCGGCCCAACCTAAACCAAGACTAGACCAGGACTAAAACAGGACTAGATCAAGACTAATCCAGAATTAAGCCAAGACTAGAACAGGACCCAAACCAAGTCTACACCTTGGCTTTTACTTACTGCCTAAATTGCCACAAAATATGCAAAATTGTTGCAAAAATTGTTTACTTGTTAGGAACAATATCATAAAAATATTTTTAAGTATTTAAAAAATAAAAGTTAAGAACCTATTTTGTCCTTTCACATGGTGTTATGCCGCCATTTTGAGGACTTTGAATCAGATATTGGGTTTTGAATGTATGGCAACAATAACATTAGTGTATAAGGTTTTAGTGAAGTGCAGTTTTTTGTTTTGCTTTAAAATGACAATGAACTTTTATGAAACACTTTTATTAAACCATGAAAATTATAAATACTCTTTGATATTTACAATAAATATACAAACGATTTATATCTGTGTGTAAACAGTGCCTGAAAATCACAACACAACAATCTTCACAATATAATCTCATTTTTGCACAAATATGCTACAGTCACGGTCCTGGTTTAGTCCCAGTTTAGTCCTAGTTTAGTCCTGGTCTAGTTCTAATCTAGTCCTGAGCTAGGCCTGATTTAGTCTTGGTCTCCTATCAGGACCTTGGTCTTAGTCTTGGTCTGGTTTAGCTCTGGTTTATTCCTGGTTTAGTCCTCATTTAGTTCTGGTTTAGTCCAGGTCTAGTTTTGGTTGAGTCCAGGTGTAGTCCTGATCTAGCTGTGGTTTAGTCCTGTTCTAGTCCTTTTTTAGTCCTGTTGTATTCCTGGCCTAGCCTTGGTCTAGTCATGGTTTAATCCTGGTTTAGTCCTGGTTTAGTCCTGGTCAGTCCTAGTCCTGGTCTAAATCCTTGTTTAGCCCTGGTTTATTCCTGGTTTAGTCCAGGTTTAGTCCTGGTTTAGTCCAGGTTTAGTCCTGGTTTACTCCAGGTCTAGTCCTGGTTTAGTCCTGGTTTAGTCTGGGTCTAGTCCTGGTCTAACTGTGGCTTAGTCCTGCTCTCGTCCTTGTTTAGTCCTGTTGTAGTCCGGGTCTAGTCCTGGTTTAGTCCTGTTCAGTCCTGGTTTAGTCCTGGTCTACCTGTGGTTTAGTCCTCTTCTAGCCCACGTTTAGTCCTCTTGTAGTCCTGGTCTAGCCTTGGTCTAGTCATGGTCTAGTCATGGTTTAGTCCTGGTTTAGTCCTGGTCTAGTCCTGATCAGTCTTAGTCCTGGTCTAAATCCTTGTTTAGCCCTGGTTTATTCCTGGTTTAGTCCTGGTTTAGTCCAGGTTTAGTCCTGGTTTACTCCAGGTCTAGTCCTGGTTTAGTCCTGGTTTAGTCTGGGTCTAGTCCTGGTCTAACTGTGGCTTAGTCCTGCTCTCGTCCTTGTTTAGTCCTGTTGTAGTCCGGGTCTAGTCCTGGTTTAGTCCTGTTCAGTCCTGGTTTAGTCCTGGTCTAGCTGTGGTTTAGTCCTCTTCTAGCCCACGTTTAGTCCTCTTGTAGTCTTGGTCTAGCCTTGGTCTAGTCATGGTTTAGTCCTGGGTTAGTCCTCATTTTGATGTGTTTTTGAGTGTGAACGCAGCCATAGTTCAGTTCCTCTGCTCCAGTGCACAAAAGTCAAAGCGCTTTCCTTCAGCTCTAAGTGTCTTCTCTGGTTTTTCATTTTTCTGTCTGTTTTTCTTTTTTGTTTTCCGGTGTTACTGACATCCGCACTCGTCCACGACCATGTCCTCGTGATGTCTCAGGAGCATCTCTCCGTTCTCGTAGTAGAGCATGCTCAGCGGGCTCATCCTGGTGGGAGCGCAGCACGGAGACGTCACGCGGTCGGGGTGTAAATGCTTGAACAGACTCTGAACAAGAAGAAGAAGAAGAATGAGGGTTAGTGCACACGACGTTACGAAATGTTTTAGAGCAGGAATGTCCAAACTTTTTCACCAAGAGTCAAAACGAAGAGGAGGTTGGCAGTAAAGCCTTGTATCATTCATTCATTCATTTTTTTTTTTTCAAAATAAAACCAAAAATAACAAAATGAAAAAACAAAATGGGAAAAAAAAAGGAAAATGGGAATTAAACTGCGATGCTGGACTTTTGCGCCAGATACGGACTGAACCAGGACTAAATCAGGACTAAACCAGGACTAAACCAGGATAAACCAGATCTAAACCAGGACTGAACCAGGACTAAACCAGGACTAAACCTGGTCTAGACCAGGATTAAACCAGGACTAAACCTGGTCTAAACCAGGACTAAACCAGGTCTAAACCAGAACTGAACCAGGACTAAACCAGGTCTAAACCATTACTGAACCAGGACTAAACCAGGTCTAAACCAGGACTAAACCAGGTCCGCAACCAGACTGAAACCAGACTGGGACTGAGACCGGGACTGAGACTGGGAACCAGACCCGGATCAGACCGTGATTGAGACCATGACTGAGACCGGGACCAGACCAGGACTGAGACAGAGACCAGACCAGGACTGAAAATGGTTTAGTCCTGTTTTAGTCCTGTTTAGTCCTGTTTTAGTCCTGTTTTAGTCCTGGTTTAGTCCTGGTTCAGTCCGGCATCACAGTTTAAGTCAAAGAAATGGGAAACTGTTGTTATCCATTTTTTTCCATTTTTCATTTAAACACAAAATCCAAAACTGAAAAAATGAATCGTTATCTGTTTTTTCATTTTAGTTTTGGAGACAAACAATGAAGAAAATTGAATTTTTTTTCATTTTCTTATTTTTGGTTTTATATTAAAAAACGAATGAATGAAAATTACATGGATTTCAGTACAGTGCCTCATTCAGTTGGATTCATTTTAGTTTTGTCAGCACTGCCTCAGCTTGGAACATTAATATTAAATCTGTATCACAATGTAAAGTCGTGTTATTGACGTTATTATGGTCAAATGAATTACATTTGGTGTAAAAATTATTGCCAATCAGAATTTGTTTGGCCCCTGGGTCATAGTTGGGACACCTGTTTTAGAGATCACTGTTTTAGGGCACATTCAGAAGATATAATTTATAAATGATATATTTTTGCTTTGATTGACTTGGTAATTACTAGGGGTGTATCACTAATCAAAATATCGTGATATCGTGTCATCAGAAATCTCTCAGTAATATCGTGGACCATCACAATATATTGAATCACAAGTAATTCTTAGCTGAATTAAGTCTTGTCAAGGCATTTTAAGAGGAAAAAGTAGCATATTAAAAATCTTGTTTGCCTCCACTAAATATCGCAATAAATATCGCACCGTGAGGTTTGAATATCGTAACATCCCTAGTGATTACTAATGGCAATAATGCACATTTTTCATCACTTTGAAATCTCTTTACCATCTAGGGCCCTGTACATTTTTGATAATAATTATTGTAGTGTAGTATTAGATTACTGTAGCATATATTTCACCAGCATTGGTCGCAGTGGTCCAGTTTTGAGCCACATACCCACCCCTGGTCTGGTTCCTACACAGTATCTAAAACAGGAGACTCCAACCTGTAGATCAGGAGCGACCAGTAGCTCCTCCTTTCAAGTAGCTCGCCAAGAGATTTCTGAATTACACGTATTGTCCCGAATAACTCAAATTTGATGAGTCTGGCCATTATTATTACAAAACAATCTTTGTGATGCCTGACTTTGTGCACTCATAAATAAATAATGGTTTATGTTTTATCTTACTGTACCCCATCTAAGTCTTCCATTGGCTTTTATGTACACTTTATTTCCTGCGACCGCTTAAACAAGTAGCTTTCTGGCATTTTCGTTTTGTAAAGGTAGTGCACCGGAGGAAAAAGAGAGACCCCTGGCCTTAAAGAACACGATTCACTAGTTTAAATAACTTTGGCCATATATACTTTAGTCATTGTTGGCTTCTTTTCTGATTTGCTAGCCTGATTCATCAGCAGGTTTCACTTCATGGAAACCATCTGACCTCGCAGCATTAGGATTTGTTCGCTCGACGGTAGGTGGGTACTTTTTTATTTAACCAATCACTGCTATTTAGTCATGGTGTCCAAGTAGCTGCCGGCACAACAGCAAACAAAGCAAAGAGTGAAAATCCTCGATCTTGGGATTCGTTGCCAACACAGAATGTCTGTCTTCGTCTACATCCATCTCGACGCTTTGTTTACTGTTGTGCTGTTCCACAAAAGGGACACAGACAGACGCGACGAGTTTGATGTCAAGCGATATAAAATGAACATATTAGATTTACCTGCATGTAAGCGTGGTTGGTCGGGTTGAGATGTTCCCCCAGCGGGCCCGGACACGCCCCCTCACACCTGTAGGCGTTGTACCTTTTGGGAAAAATAATCCAAGACCCCCATCCGATCCGGTTAAAATCCACGTGCAAATCCACTCTTCTGCAAGGCTGCTTCTTAGACCCGCTGTGCTCCCTCTGCCCTCTTTTACTCCTTCGCTTTTTATGCCGTTTTGCCTTTCGGATTTCCGCTTGGGACAAAAATTTGGACTGTTCAGCCGTGTGGAGTAAGCTTGCTTTCGGTTTAGACTTCCCATCCGAATCTGTATGCGAAAAGACAACCAGTAACGCCCGCTCGTTCACTTCAGGGTCTATTCCGATTTCTATTTTGGGTTTTTCAGAATTTTTCCTTTTTCTAATTCGTCTAAGCTTGATTTTGTTCGGTTTCTTGTCTCGTAGCCAGTTCAAAAGCGGAGATGTGATGTTGTAGACTTTCCAGTTTTGAGATCCGGGGACCAGGGAGGTGTGGTTGAGCGTGCCCACTAGATGATGCTCCAGACAGGGTTTGGAGACGGCGAGGGGAGGGTGGCTGCAGGTCTGGTGGTGGTAAATGTCCACGGTGACATTGGAGACATCTTGGTTTCGGGGAAGGCGTATTCGAAGCTCGGCCGCTTGGATCTGTTGGTCTCCGAGCAACGTGTGGAGGTCAAAAGTGGCGATCCAGCGCGTTTCCTTATTCGTCAAACCTGAAACGATACAGAGAGATAACGTTGGTAAACTTGGTAATCACAATGGAGACAGGTTAATGGTCAGATCTATGGAGAAGCGAGCCTGCACGTGGTATGAATTCCTGTATTTTTGAGCGATAAAACACTTTTAATTGAACAAATGCAAGGGAGATATGTTTCATGCCCTACTGTGGAAAATTATAGAAAAAGAAATAACATCTCCATGAAGAAAAGCGAAAAAGTAGCAGACCATCCACCTTAGAAGTTACGCAGTGCACCTTTAAGACACAAAATAGTGAAATTATGCGTTTTACCAATTTGCGTCTACAATATATTTTCAAATGAAACAGAAAACGCACACCAAAGTTCTTGTAGAGGTGCAAACGCAAGGAACAGCAAAATAAAAGTGAAAAAATGCACAGCACACTCTGATGGCTGATGACGTTTCGGCTAAAAAAGGCTTCATCGGATCATTTTTCTTACTTGGGACCAGAGTACCACGATATATTTTAGCAAATTTACTATTTTGGATATCACAAAATACTTCGTGAATGTATTTTCTATTCCCATTACAACATTAAGTATATCTAGTTATGGATGAAGACTTTTAACGCCAACGCATCTAACAATTCAAAACAACATATACTATCTTTTGAATGACTAGTCCCCGAAATAGTAGCCTGATTCATGAGCCGGTTTCACTTCGTGGAAACCGTCTGACCTCCCAGCATTAGGATTCATTCGCTCAACAGTTGGTGAGTACTTTTTTTATTTAACCAATCACTGCTATTTGCTCGTGACGTATGTAATGCGCCAAATCCTGTAAGAAGAAGGGCAATAATGTCTTTCCTCTTGATAAAATTCACCAAACATTCTCTTTGTTCCAGCTCGATCCCAGGAATCGTTGCCAACACAGAATGTCTGTCTTCGTTTGCATCCATCTCGAGCTCTTTGTTTACTGTCGTGTTGTTCCACAACAGGGACCTAGACAGGCGCTTGAGTTTGATGTCATGACTTCACAGATCTTCGTTGATTGGCTAGTGCGCGGTCTACAACTTCCACAGTTCTTGCAAAATCGTCTAGTGTATTCTGATACCTGACCTAGTCTCTGGAGAAGAATGAAATTGATCCGAGGCATGAGGTGTTCCCAGCCTGAGGAACTGAGGAACATATCAAGAAGAGAAATAACACCTCAATGGAGACATGGCATAGCGGACCCTCCACATAAAAAGTTACACAGTGCACCTTTAAGACACAACAGTTAAGTTATGCGTTTTTTTTCAATATGTGTGTACAATATATTTTAGCACATTTAATATATTGAATACCACAAAATACTTCCTGACTGTATTTTCTATTCCCACTACAATATAATAGAAACATTAAGCATACTGGGTTCTTTTAAAAATGAATATTATCAATGTGATGCCAGTTGTAATTTTGCCAGCGCATTTAACATTTCAGAACAACACATCTAACACTACCTTTTGAATGACTAGTCCCCAAAATGGCGCCTATTACAGGAAATTGATAATAGTAAAACTTAGTAGGTTATTGGGGGAAGAAGAAATTACACTGAGAAATCCAATAACATACAATATACAATTTGAATTAACTTGTTGCTCGCCCCAAAATAGTTTACATTTGTTCACTTATTACATATAAAAATGATTACCTAACAGATTTCTGTATCCTGCAGAGAAAGCTGAAAACTTATAGCTTATTTGGAAACAAGACTTAAACTTAGACAAACTTTATTGATCAACAAGGAAAATTATTTGGACAAGAGCAAAGTATAAAACTAGATTATACTCTGAAGCCACAGTATGTACATTTTTAGCCAAAAGAATCAACTAAAATAACAAGCTTTTTTCTTTTCTTTATAATTTTGGTTGTGTTTATCGCACTGAAACACACATGTCCTTACTCTGAGTGGGCTTGCATCTCCATAAACCTAACTTTTATGTTTCTTGGGCTATACAATTTCACAGTATGACATTAAACAAATCCATCTCCATGAAAAACACATAAAATCCAGTCCAATGTGTATGTATGAAAAAGGAAACTAAGTCATTGTGCGTCAAAGTGAAGATTTCTTTTTGCACTTGACGTGATTGATTGTGACTGAACTGAAATGAACTGATTTGAAATGTTTTAAAATAACAATTGGTGTTGATGTTTTGTCTGGAAAAGGGAAAAGGCGGCAGAAAACATGAGATGACTCTTCGTTCTGCTTCTTTTCATTCATTTCTTGTATGTTTGATGTTGCGACAATGTCTTTTTGCACTTTATAAATGAAATAAATAAACAAAATACAAACTACAAATGTTCCAAAGTATGATTTTAACTTCCTATTTCCACACTGTACCTTTAAATAGCCATGGTACACAGCTCAGTCCTTATCAGTGATCCCTGTGGATAAGTACTTGCTGATGTAAATTACCTTTTTGATAAGACTCGTTCTTATCTATGGACCATCAACCTGTAATAGCCACATGGGCATGAACCGAGTTATCTGAAAACTAATTTGTAATCGTTTTGTAGTGTCTTCACGGCCCGGTGTTTGCGGTACTGAAACACCACTGCGCCCTAAAGCCCCATTGTCATTCACTAAGCAGGTGTGGTACAAAATAATCCTGGCTACTGCCGCTCAAATATTTTCCTTCCACAGCTTGGGGTCTCCGTTGGATGTTGATCAAACTCGCAAATAAGCGTCTGTCTCGTCTTTTTTTTTTACGCGCAAACGTCACTCGCTTTTATTTATCCACTTATTAATCCCTCAACGCAAACACTACGTCGCTTGTTGTAAGTTGTAACACGTCCCTGACTATTACCGAGCGGCTTGTGCATATCCTCAGTCAAACAAGTCGCCCCTAACACCTACGAGTAAAGTGCAATGGCATACAGGCGCACTAAGCCAATGGAGAGCGCGTCTTCTTTGCGCCACGGTTTAAGTCCCCAACTCTAATCTAATCAGCGGCAAGTGTGAAAAAGAACTAAGGGAAGTTGTTGATTTGACCCCACAACAGATTTGTGTAGGGGGGTGTCTGGCTCGCGCTGTAATCAACATCGGGCTATTTAGGGAGCAGGCTTGGTTTGCTTTGAGAATTAGCCGCGTTCTTTTCACACACGGATCTCTTGGGATGTGTATTGACTCCTATCCGAAGTCGTCTGGGCGCAGATTTGACAGCGCGCAGCGACTCCACATCCAAACAAAATACCTAACATCTCCAAAAACAGCGATTACGCACGCTTTTACGCACGCCTTTACCACAACATTTAAGCAATTTTTTTGTTTTACTTACTTTTCGCCATGACGCTTTTCACGGTGTCTGCGCGCCTCGCTACACTCTGCTCAATAGCATCCGCTGGTTTGGAAAAATTTGTGGTGAAATTCCGATACAGATGCACCATGTACGTTGGCAGGTGATGTCCAGCGGGTCTGTCCAAAAGCTGAAACCTTGAGTACACTCCATCTTTCACCGTTTGCGTCCCACGTACTGACACAAAAAGTAGCAGCAGCAGTAGTAGAGGTAGTTGTAGTAGTAGTATCACCAAACTTGGAACTCTCCTGGATGTTGCGCGCATGTCGAAGCCGTGCGTAAAAAAGAGCGTAAAATTCCTGCGTCGGTGAGATGAGGGTGTCTTATATACCATCAGCCAGCCCCTTTTCCATGTTTAACAAGTAGCCGAGAACATTAAAGGAAATTGACATGCGCTCTCAAGACTTGTTACTTGACAGCTCATAACGCATTCACGTGCTAATGAGTCGCCCGCGTGCGTGTTTACAAGCTGTGAGGTTTGCACCGGCTTCTGTGCGCCTCGCGAGCCCCCCTCCCCTCCCAGTCCGAGCAACCATCCGTGCGAGGCAGGCTAATTGTCCCATGTTGTTTGGTTACACTAATTGTTAGGGTTTTCCATAGAGTAATGCAGTCTATTAAACATATAACCCACTGCGCGGACACCGGCCACTTCCTATGACCGTCTGTGCCAATACGATCATTTGAAGTATTGTCAAATCCAGGTATTTCTTTTGCATATTTTACTGATAAAGTAAAGATTATACTTAGAATTATAGAGTCTAGACTATTGCAATTACCAAAATGTATCCAGCGTAATGTGTTTGTACATGTCCTTTGTGCGTAAAAACGTACATCGCCATTACGCACCATGGTTTTGTAACATCAGCTATGCATTAGTAAGTTTTTTATATTAGTTTTTACATTAAAGTAAATATTATACTCAGAATTGTAGAGTCTAGAGTATTGCAATTACCAAAATGCATCTAGAGTGGTGTGTTTGTCCATCTCCTTTGTGCGTAAAAACGTTCTTCGTCATTACGCACTATGGTTTTGTAACATCATATATGCATAAGCAGGTTTTTCATACTGTAGTTTTTATAGTTTTACGATAAAGTAAAGATTATACTCAGCGTTATAGAGTCTAGACTATTATAGTTACCAGAATCTATCCAGTTTTAGTCCTGTGTGGTGGAATTGTCCATATACTTCGTGCGTAAAAGTTCGTTCTGGGGCGTACTTTTGTCATTACACGCTAACAGCTCTGCATAACTTAAACTTAAATATCATTTAGCATTAATTGGGGCTGGTTTGGTAACTTCTATTGGACATTAATACCATATTACAAGAAGTGTCATTCAGTAGGTTAGATGGGTCTTTTTAGAGTATGTGTATGTGTTTCTGTGTGATAAAATATTACATTGTACAAGTTTTTGTGGGATTAAAGGAGCATTATGTAATTTATAAAATGGAGGGTCCACTACTTGCTTGTTAAAATGGAGATGTTCTTTCTTTACAGGTAGTATTCCACAGTATGGTGTGGTATAGAGGTGCATTGAGTAACTTTTCTGGTCCATGAAATGATTTTGTCCATGGAGATGTTATTGCTTTGTCTGGAATGTTTCACAGTATGGCATTATACCTTTCTTTATCTTCATGGACACCAAACCAGACCAACTTACAGGTCAGATCTACGGAAAGGCGACCCCACTCACAGTTAGAGTGCCTGTTTTTAGGTATTTTTGAGCTATAAATCCACCTGTAATTGAATAAATGTGATGTCACACTGTGGAACATTCTAGGCAGAGCAGTGACATATCCATAGAAACAAGCAGGTGACAGACCCTCCACCAGAAAAGTCACACAGTGCACCTTTAAACTAATTTGCCTCGCATTCATTCACCTACAGGTGTTTTATAGCTCGCAAATTCCTAGAAAAACATGAATTCATACCATGTGCAGGCTCGCTTCCCTGGGCTATATTGTCTTCAGGATGTGAGGATCAGGTCATATTACTACTATTCTACTTCTCGGCCTTTCTACATTTAGGTTCATTTAATCATAAACAAACATCTGCGTCTTTTCGAACCCAAAACTATCAATACAAACAAATAGCCATAGATGAAATATTTAATTAATAACTTTATAATGTACAGACTAATGGTGTTTCCAGTGTACCCCAAGTGTCTTCTGGATCTTAAAGTGCCAATATTATGCTATTTTCTGATTTATGTTATAATGTTGTTTCCTCATCAAAAACATACCTGAAATTTTGTTTCATTCACACATGTTTAACACACAAACTCTGCAGATTTAGGCCGAGTTCTTCTCTAAAACTGAAAACACTTTGTTTGATTGGTAATAGAGGAAATGCACTATAATAATTTGGATCATTTCAGACCTGCAATCTCTGCTGAACTAAAGGTAAAAGGAGCTGTTAACTTGAAAACTACTGCTTCATGACATCACAAAGTGGAACAGAGCATTTTGAGCTTTGGAGATGTGGACTAACAATAAAGTGTTACTCAAACATGTGTGAATGAAATAAAACACAACTCCAGGTCTGTTTTTGATGAGGTAACAACATTATAACATGACTTAAAGCTCACGAGTATTAATTTTACGTAATATCAGACTTAGGATGACCAGATTTTCAAAATAAAAAACTTGGACCTCCTCGGTTTGTGGTGGTTGATGATAATAAAATTGTAAAACGAGTGCGTAATTAAGGCAAAATGTTGCACGTTCAGCTCTAATATGAGTCAGTATAGTCACATTTTCTTTGTGTTTTGGTTGTTTTTACACAGCTTTTCTGTATTTTACCTAAAGAAATGCCAATTGATGCCTCTTTTTACTGTTAGCAGGGATCAGATTGGTCAAAAATAGGGTCATTTCTTGTTCAGAACTTGAACAAATCAGTGGTTTTGGATACATCTGCTGGGACAGGGGACACAAGGCTCAAAACAGGGACTGTCCCGGATAAATAGGGATGTCTGGTCACCTTAATCAGACTTTAAAATCAAAATGAGACATATGTTTAGCTAAAGGTAAATGAATTTCAGGAGACTAAGTCATCGTAAGTGAAAAGGATTTAGTATAAAATATAAAACATGACAGAAAATTTCCTAATAAATAAATGTGTGTTTGTGTATTAGGAGATACCCAAAGAGAAAACAGAGCTCTTGTTTTTGTTTTCTCAGATTAAGTAATTTCCAAGTATTCCTGCGATAACGGTTTGATGGATGCTGCAGATTTGTTGTCCGCCACAATGCGCATGCGCCGCAGTCTCTCCACTCGCAGCGGACTCCCTCCTCGCAAATTTCTCGACAAAGTGCAAAAAAATCAATGAATAATTTCCGTCGACTGCTTCAAACTACAACTTCGCACCTCGTGACCGACCCCCGCTTCTGAAACAACAGCGCATTTCGGGCACGTCGCGATGAAGACGCACGTTTTCTGCTGAAATGGTGAGTCTCTACAAACTTTTCTCTGCAGGAGCCACGGCGGCAGCATGAACGCGCTTTGATGCGGTTTGGATGCGAACGTAAAGCTACCTTAACGCAAATACGACGTGTAAATGTGTGTATCTGCGCTTTGGTCGGGTTGTGGAGGTTGTGGAGCGTGTTGGACGGCGCTAAGGGCGATGGAGAGAGTGTTTAGCGGGGATCGAGACGCACGGAGGCGGACATGTGGTTGGTTGGTGGCACCCCCTACTCCTGCTGGTTCAATGGGAGCTGTACTTTGCGCAGATTGTTGGTAGAACATTCAAGCATGAGGCAATACTTATGTAGTAGGGCTGTAACGATATCCAAATCTCACGGCACGATTTTATCACGATATGCATCTTACGGCACGGCATTTTTTGCGATATTTTGAGAAATTTGACACTTTTTTTGCTTTTAAAATGCATTGACAAGATTTTTAAAAATCTATATTTGTATAATTATAAAGTTACTTGTAGATAATGAAAATACAGGGAGTAGGAGCTGTTTAATTATTATTATTTTTTTGCCTTTCATTCCTCCATTGTATTGCAATTAATGATATGTATTTTATTTTGCTATATGTAAATATTTGTTAAGTTCCGTGATCAATGTACAGCAGCAACCACATCATTTTTGAAACTGTCATGAACAGGTGTGGGTTAATATAAGTTTTTTTTCTTCCCACTCCTTTTCGAGAAATGTGCTTTTCTGTTGTTTACAGTGTAGATGTAGTACACATGATAATTGTTTCTGTTTTCGCACAAACTCGAAATAAAAAATAGAAATAGAGATTTGGAGATCTAAAGGTCCCATTATACGCAATTTTATGATCGGTTATAATGTTGTATCCTCATCAAAAACATACCCACACTTCTGTTTTCTGTTTCACAACTCCTGCGTATTTAGAAAACACTCTGTTCTACCTTGTGATGTCATGTGGTAATAAAGGAAGTGCTGCAATCTGTTTGTAAACCACACACACTTTCACTAGAATCATTTTGATGTTTCAGCTCTGGAATTGCCAAACTCTACTGAAGTAAAGGTAAAAGGAGCTGTTGACTTGCAAAACTACCACTACATGACGTCACAAGGTGGAACAGAGCATTTTGAGCTTTGGGGATGTAAACAGACTGATAATAAAGAGTTACTCAAACATGAATGAAACAAAACACAACTCCAGGTTTGTTTTTGATGAGGTAACAACATTATAACATGACTTAGAAGTTCAGAAGAGTAAATTTTGTGTACTGTATTTTCCGCACTATAAGGCGCTCTGGATTATAATGCGATAATAATGTCTTTGAATGGTCTATTTTTGAACTTTTTTCACATATAAACCTCACCGGACTATAAGACGCATTAAATAAAACACAACAGTTAGATAAGTCAGTCAAAATTTATTTAACGTGTTCACAATAACTCTCAACTTTGTTCAATTTTAACGCATAAAAAAATACTGTCTTAGACGCTAAATTGTTCGTGTATTCACAATAAATCATAATGGTTCAGTTGGGCGATTACGGCGTCCGGCACACCCGCATCTCTCTCGTCATTATCTGAGTCAGTGTGGTTACTGTTCCCTGGCAGTTCAGTGATGATTCTGGTCTTGGTGAAAGCTCGAACCACAGTTGATCCTAATCCTTAGCCCAGGCGTCCGCGATCCGTTGGCAGATCGTGGCGTAAGTCGCTCGGCGCTGTCTCCCTGTCGTGGTGAATGTTGTGTTCTCCTTCTCTCATCCACTGCTCCCACACAGCTCGCACTTTCACTTTATACCGTATTTTCCAGGCTATTAGACGCGCTCTTAAGCCTCTAACCCCATCAAAAAAAGACTGCGCCCCGCATGCCAGAGCGCCCTGTACACGAATCCACTCGGGTGTCCCAGCACGACTTC